CATAGATATTAAGGATCATTTAGAACCGCACTTAAAAGACCCTCAAGACAGGTAATTTTCCAAATTTTCCTAAAACGAACCAGATAGACCTGCAATTTTCCCAAATTTAAGTCAATTGATGTAGTCAACAAACTATTTAATCGAACAATAAGCCAAGTCAATAGCATGTATCTACAGCTAATATATATCACATGCAGCACTAAAATCTCACAAGTGACAATTGAAGTAAAGTCAACTCTTTTAAGCCAACAAAAAGGAAGAAACCCTTTGTTGGGCAAGCCCAAAACTTACTAATAATTGTCAATTTGTAATATATACCTTCAAACTCTCAATTTTAATCTAAATAATAAAAAGAGCAAATAAGAATCTCGTTCGAATTCGAAAGTCAATACAATCAATCGGGTCATACATAGAAGCCAAAAAAGAAAAAGGAAAAATATAAATCCAGCAAAAGAAAAAGGGCAAAAAGAGAAAAGAGAACATACCTTCTGCATTCCCAGCGATCCTTAAAACCAAATCCGAGACCAAAATCAACCAGAAGAACGCTGAGATTGCTCTCCCCATAATCTTATCAACATAAACTAGCTAAAAGCCCCAAATCATCAACCTGCCTCGTACTGAATCTTGTCTCCATCAATTCTTTGGAGAACTGACCAAAAAAATCACCGGCATACAGCTCTTTGACCCAGTCAGCAACCTAAGAATATGAACAAGACTCTGGAGCAGAAGCGCGATTGAAGATACTAAAAAACTCCCGACCTCCCTTCCACAGATGATTTCGCGTCTCCCGTCGCTGTTTCAGAGCTCTGGCAACGAGAAATGGGAGAGGTTGTTCGTGCTTCGTTTGGGGGTAAAGAAGGAGGAAACGAAGTGGAAGAAAAGGGGAAATGAGGATGTTTTTGTACTGAGAATATTAGTATCATAAAGGAGTTTGGCACTGGTCAAAGTAGCACATTGTGCCGTCACCAACACGTGAAATTTCTAAAAGAAAAAATGTATATTTAAGGAAAGCAACCCGCTTTTACCGTGTAAATTTTCTCGATTATTAAATAAAAAATATCCTTTAATATAAAGAGTTTTTTTATTTAATAATTAGTGTAATGTAATTTATTATATTTTAAATTGTATTATATTTTTTAATGAAAAGTGGTTATTTTTGAAAATTCATTTAGAAATTTATCTTTTTAATTAATATTTTTAAAAATTAATTAAAAGTTGTATTACATAAATATTAATTTTTAAATTATTTGATATGGTTAATAAATTTATTAATTATATAAAATTTAATATCATTAAATATATTATAAATGTTATATATATGAATAATATATATCAATAATGACTTTCTTTTTGAACAAATTCGCATGAGTCAAATTCGAACCGTTATCCTAAAATGAGAAAATACACTTATACGTAACTTGATATCAGTAGGTCTGAATGCCAAATGCTATCAATAATGACTCTTGAAAAAACTAAAGTCTTAACATTAATTGAGATTATTTCATTGTCATACTATTTTTTTAATAGTTTTTCCGTCACATTATTTTAATATAATTGCATAATATACCTTTATACTACACTTTTTTCAAAATTTTATAATTTTTATTTTTTAATAAATTAAAAAGTATAATAATCAAGTAAAATAAAATTTGACACTGATAATTAAAGGTGTACTAATAACATTACCTTATATATTATATATGAGAAAAATAAGTATTTGTTAGCTTAATCTTTAAAGAAATTTAAAAGAAAAAACATATAAAACTACAAAATTACATCATTTTACTAAATTATCATTGAAAAAAACTAAAATAATACATTAATAAATTTATTTTGATATCTTATTGTGAGACTTTAATAAAATAATATAATTTTAAAATATTTTTTATCTTAATGTTTTAAAAAGTTCAGCTAACAAAGACTTTATTATATATAAAAATTATTATAAAATTTAAATTTTATCAAATTACACCTCAATAATTATTAAATGAGATATGATTCCCCTGCCATATAGTCCTCCATTGTATCAGTATCTCTCTTAATCTAATAACAGTGTTTTGTAGTCTAATCATTTTTGACTCGGTCAACAAGTTGTATATGCCGGTGATTTTTTGCGAGAAATTTAACCTCTCTAGTGGCTAAAAGCTTAAGAGGGCCCTTGATTTATTTTTGCAGTCCGGTATTTCTGACTTGGGCAACGATCTATAATGGTTAAAAGCTTATATTTAGAAATTGAAGAAGTCCATTCAAAGGCACTAAAATAAATGGGAGAAATGCAATATAGGGTAAGAACAATTTAATCATTAGAGATTCGATCACACAAAAAAACATCACAATACTAATAATTTATTAGATTAAATGAAAGGAGTTTAATTTTTTAAAATAAAATCTTAAATTCAAATTTTATGAAGAAAAAAAAAAGTGTTAGAAAAACTTTTCTCTTTATAGAATTTAATGTGACTCAACTTTAAATTAGTTTAAATCTAATACAATTTTTGAATATGAAAAAATTAATTAAAAAAAACATTACAATGACTTGTCAAAAATATCACATGATTTATTAACACTAATTAAAGGTTTTGTTTAGAAATGCCATGCTATGGCTGTGTGTTTGTGGGTATAGATTTTCTAGTTTTCTAATATTT